AACTCAATTGAAACCAATAGCAATCGTCCAACTAATGCGCTTTTCACCGGTTTTTATTATTTTTTCATAGATTATTCTAATGAATATATCTGCAGAACTTGTACTGTAATTATAGGAATTATGGCTCGTGCCTTGAGGTGTCATTGCAACGCGGAAAATTCACCTGGGGAGATGCATCTCACTCGGAATTCATCCTGACGATCTAGACCACCCGCTGACTTGGCTGCAAGAGTGAACCCCATGACTGCGAAGATCCCAGATAGGTTTTGTGGACAATGCATTTGCGATTGGAAGACGAGGCGTGTGCCACGTCGTTTCACCATCCCGTACTCTCCTCCTTTTCCATCTCTTTTGTTCTCATCTGCCTCTTTTTTGAACCACCATTAGAATATAAAGAAAACGTAATAACCGAGAGCGGGAATCCCCGGGAATTACTACTCTCCTCGCCATTCAAGCTTTCTACGGGTCCATTGTATCGTCTTTTGGTTTTTCTAACCGACGGGACAATGAGCCAACGATTCCCAAGGAAATCCTCCACGCGGCCACACAAATCGTCCTTTTTGTTCTCTATTAGTCTTTTTTCGGGTATTTTTGTTTCTTTTGGGATTTCTTTCTATTTAGGACAACAGCGAATGTAAATATGATAATATTTGGGTATCCAATTACAAATCAGTCTCTTGGTTCGTGAATTCGTGAGGAAAATGCTCCAATATTTAAATTACAAGTCTTATCCGCACATTATTGCAACTCGCTTCAGCTAATTAGCATGTCAGTTGATAACTATTTAGATAAATATGTAGAGCTTCTTCCGGGTGTTTACAGTCGTCAGTAAGTAGGGTATTGAAATACAAGTTGTTACAGCATGCACTTCAGTCCGCTAGTTAACATTGCAATTGTTTTAATTATTGCACTGAGTTATGGAGAATTTGTTGATGGGATGTTCTGTCCACCGGAATGTCAGGAAGTTTGGATTGAAGGTTGTCCCAGTGGATGCGGACCATAGTGAGTTTTTATTATCAAAAAATTGCAAAACTTTAAAAAATTTATTCTTACAACGCACAAACAGTACTTGCTGTCACGTGGTTGTAATTTTACTGTTTTCAGGTCTCTATATACCTATTTTCGGAGTCATTTCCACAACTCCCGTGGGGATTAACAATTTTGGTTTAAAATCTAAAGTAAAGGGATATCTGCCACCTGTACAAACTCGTATTCATATTAACGACCCTGGGCTCCAGTAAATATGAATAAATTCACTGGATTTCGTGAGGATTACATGGATTTGCACATTATACCATGGTACATGGTTATCGCATCAGTAATTCGCTTTTATCGACTTGACAATGTTGTAATATCATTCAATTAATAACGGATTCATTGAAAAAGGAAAATAAATTGCGATATTCACTGGTAAAATGAAAATTTTCTGAAATTCGAAACGATTTCTGTCGATATTAATTACTGCTCCCGTTCAGTGGTTTCATATTACCATTATTCCTGAATTTCTGACGTTTTATGCAATAAAATTTTTATTCAGACGTTAATTACCGTCGCCATTTTTTAATGAAATGAATGCAGAGCCACTTGTCTGCATTGGAGTGAAGCACAAAAGGTGCGCGTTTCACGGAGTGATTGATGGCGGGTTTTACATTCAGGTGACAAATATTGATTATCCGATAAACTCAATTCATCCACATCAGCTTCCCATCGCCATTAATTCAGATTCATGTTGTGCAATTAGAAAGACCCGATAACGAGGTGCACTGTTATACTGTCAAATTGAATTAATTAATTTTTGGTGCTGATGAGGGTTTTAATGGTAACATCTTATTCCAATGAAAATTATGAATATTTAATACTTCAGTGAGACTGAGAGTGAGATTATTTTTAGGGACTGCTAATTTTTTTTTCCGTTCTAAATGTTTCTCTTTCTGTTCTATATACAATAAGCCGTTCCTTTTTTGGATGTCCCTAACGAGCATGAAAGTTGATCTTTCGTATTTCATTTATCCTTAATTTCCTTTATTCATTCAGTGCATTCATCCTCAGCTCTTCATCTCAAATGCAGAAAGAAAATGGAGAGGTAGAAGAAGGAAAACAAAAATACTAAAAAATGAAGTACGAAGTGAAAGTCAATGAGCTCGTTAAACCTTTTATCCTCTGATTTACATTTGCTGAGGAGGTACGATTCAAAGGAGTTGAGAGAATTGGTCCACCTGTATCAAAGCATATCAGCAGAACGGTTCAAAGCTATTTAGCTCCTAGCTGTGTTTTCACGAAATATCTCTAAATCCAAAAGAAAAATTATAAGACTTAGATAATAAGCTTTTCTGTAAAGAAAATGAAGCCCTATAAAATAGGTCTGTATAAAAATTGAAGAGTTTGCCCGGAGGTAATCGATTTTTAAAAAGTTCATCTATCCTATGACCCTGATATGTGAAAAAAAAAAAGAAAAAATTTCCGGCAAAAAGAAAATTGAAAAAATGATCAATTGAAAAGTTTCGATTCGGAAGCACAAACTGAAATCAGTGCAGCGAGTTTGTTCGCGATTTTTATTATCGTTTAAATATTAATACAAGTGTTCGTTTAAAATTAATTCTTTACGTTTATTTCTATTTCACGATGAGAACCAGTTCTTAAGGCAGGCATTGGGGCCCAAAGTGAGAGGTGTGTATAGAGCGCGCGCCGCGCGTGCCACTCGCGTGTGTCACGTGTCTCTTTCTTTCACTTATAGAAATTGTAGAGGTAATCTCGAAAACACACCCAGAAATATACTGCCGCTCTGATTCAATGAGAATCATGAAGTCCATTGCATTCCGACTAGCAATTCCACCTACGTTGCATTTCATCAAAATTTTTTGCTCGCGCAATTCCGCAATTCCTCTTGGTAACAAAATTTCAAAAATTTTGACCACTCACATGACCGTTGAAAAATCCAATAATCCTCATGTCTTCGTATCATAGATCCGGTAATTTCCGGTGGTGGCGCCCGCCTCTAGGTAATCCACGGATGCTCGTTATTATTCTTCAAAGTCCGAGGGAACGATAGGCGGCATGTACTCTACCGTGGGAAACCGTTACAAGTATAAGTAAATGCTAATGCCCTTGCGATACTTCAGTTGCCCCCTCCCCGGTGCTTTCTTAGGTCTTTATCTATCACTGGCTACTTTACAACAGCGCGCGCAGTACACGTCTGCGTGCGCAGTACACGTCTGCGCGCGCAGTCATGCAAAGCCGGGGAGTAGTGTGCTTGCGCTCATGCGATAATTGTGAGAACGTTACCGGTTGGGGCGAGTAAATCGGCACGATCGGACGATTCGATGCGGACTTATTTATGGTGCCTCGTGACGCTAAAAAGATCAGGTAAACTCTTGGCTCGGTTTCTACGGAGGCGGCAGTTTTTCTTTTAGATTTACACATAAAGAATGATGAAGCACTGAGAAAAGACGAACACTTGACAGCCTCTACCATCCTTTTCAAAAGTATAGTCCACAAACTTTGGAGGCTTGGCAAAAAAAATCACACGATTGGGGAATTAGATAGATCGATTTACAGAAGGCCAAATTCATTCGTTCGCCTATTCATATAACCCGAGTGGCGAACCTCGGAAACCAATCATTGCTCTTTCACTTTAAATCGGCGATAATGCAACGAGTTTTCGCCCTCGCAAAGTGTTTAATAAATAAATGTCGCATTGGCGTGAGAACGACTGCTGCGCGTGTAGATTTGTGTCGATCGGGCCGAATGAATATTCATGGAGTTAAGGTCTTGTGCGATGATCACGGTTCGAGCTTATCGGACATTTCGCGCTTTTATTTTTGTTTATCATCCAATAACGGCGTTACTCTCATGCTAAAAGCCACTCGCATCTCTTCGCCTAGATTATTTTTTATTTATGGAGATTTCTTAAATTATTAGAGTCACCCTGAGGTATTCATTGAATCTCCAGTATTTTATCAGCTCGTTTATACAAGTGGAAGAGTTATAAAGTAAACCAGGGACTATTCATATGAAGAGTGAAGCAATAAATATCGAATTTAAATATAAATTATTGTGGAGACGATAATTCAACAAAAGAAATTTCAGGCACCGGCTGATATCGTCACCTGCGAGTTACGAATTCCCGTTAATGATTATCGTTATCCAAGGAAGTAATTATTGTTTTCTTGAACAGAACAGCACAGTATGATAAAAAAAACCATTACCGCGAACAATTCTTTACTTCACAGCTATTTCCTCTTACGCAAGTCACAATGTTTGCTATTTCGTATTTAAACATTCATTTCCAATTATACATTTCAATGATTTCTCTAAAACTGTTTTAAGATTAAAAATCTAAAATTAATTTAGAATTAAAAATTTATGAAGAATATAAGATTTCAGCAGTAATATTGCAAATGATGAAATATTTAAATATTCATCAACGGGAATGAATCAAAAACAGATACACTCTTTATCGACGTTGCACATTCTATCAACATAAGGACAAACCGATCTGCAGTCTTCGTGCGTCGTGCAAGACACTGTTGAGAAGGAAACAGCAAAATTATTAAGCTGAGTTAGTCTACCGCTAACGAGTCGCGTCTTTCTGCCATAATATTAAGAAGCATAACCTTTATTTGATTTTCATTACCCGCTGTGACTTCCCTCCACACTCCCATCAGGGCGAGGAGAAAGAAAAAAACATCAACTTCTGCACGCAAATCTTGACGGCAATCTGAATTTTTTCATGTGACTCCAATAACCGATTGATATGACTAACACGCTAGTCGCGAATTTTAAATAGTCGATTATTATCATTGGAGGAAGTCCCTATCAGTACTCCGTTTAAAACCAGACAGTGGAATTAGAACGACAATTGCTTTTATCAACCGATGTTCGACTTTGTATTATCGTTTAAATGAGTCACGGACACGAAAATACCGCATAGAATACACATTTCTGTATAAATATTTATCCATTTTGCGAATTACAAAACAATTCTACAGGCAATTGAAAAATCGCCCACAACAGAGTGTGCACTTCTAATACCTTTAATAACAGTTATTCCAAAAATCACCTCAGCCCACTTAATTATCAAAACTTGGAATCTCAACTTCTCACGTTGAAGGCAGGAATCAACGCCTCTGGTTTTAGCACACAGAATGATTTTATCAGATCATTGAGTGGGTGCTTCCTTCTTTTTCTTTTTTATCTCAGCTGAGTGTTATTTCGTCTTGAAAATTAAACCAACCGACAGGTGAGAAGCAGCCAAGTGGGCCTTTTCTCTGTATCTACAGTACCCTAATAACTGGGTTTGGGTGAAGCGATCGCGATATAACTCGAGGATGGTCCCAAGTGATATCCAAAGGGGTTTAATTACAGGCTCTAGGATTCAGACCCTGTCCAATTATTTGAACTGGCTGATTGCATGTCATGGCGGGTCTCTTGTACGAGGGGTGAGAAGCGCAACGCCATAATAGTCAAGAGTCTTTATCCAATCAGCCATCTACACAAAAGGTATACAGTGCAAAGTAGCTTCCACCATTCGTCTGCCAATTTTAGTTTACTATATTCCAAAGTCAACTAGAACAGTAACGATGAAATCTAACTATAATTTATAAAGACAATTAGACATAAGGAAGACTGGCCGCCATGAATCTTTGAATCTGTCTCAAGCCTTGTCCTTTTCAGTTCTGACTTCTCCATAGAACTAAAAACCCAGACACATCAAACTTGAGCGACAACCCCAAAGCATTTACCACACAATATTGTGGTATCGAATGACTCACATCTGAGGACAACAACAATTTAACATCCCTGCCACTTGATTTTTTTTTTTTTCCAGTTGAGAGGAGAACGTGTCATCAATCTCCACCTGGTAGACCATAAATTCACAAAAGGCTTGCACATGCAGGGATGCTGTACCAACACTTACGGTAGGCATCAGCTGAAAATGATTTGTGCGTCGAGTTGCGATAAAAGAAAAACCGCAGTGCACTCGTAAGGAGAGCGGTTAACGCCTACCGTTTCACATCACGTACAAGCCCTGTAAAATACCTCGCTATTTTGTAATAGGTATGTCGGTACATATGTGCCTTCACACCTGACAATCAGAGGCACTTGAGAAGACAACACTCCAGTATCTCCAATCTGCTCCACTCAACACCTCCTCTTATCGATGCATTCTCCCGCTCTCGAGTCGTAATGACACGTTATGGTTTTCAGCTTCAGGCTGTATTGTTTTTGAAAAGCCCTTGGTTTGCTTAGTAACTCGATACAAGAACCACCATGTCTCACCATTTAGATCACAACCATCCATTGATCTTCGGAATTTAAAATTAAAACTCCAACTTCAATATATTAGTCAAAAACCCAGTGGAAAATTGAATTTTCACTTGGAATGAGCAATCTCATTAATTCATTGTCATCATCATCCCATCTTTATGTAATTTCCTACTGCAAAAGTAAATTGAAATTCCGTGGGGGAAGAGGTGATGCCAAGTTATTGGCTTGTGGCTAATTCCCATCACGTCTTCAGGAGCTAATTTCTATCGGCGGCACGCCAGTTCCCTTTCCCTCCGTGCTTTTTTCGTCCACCAAGTGTAGAATTAAATCCAATACCAAAACTACTGACACACACGCACATCTCTCTCTTTCTCCACAACTCTCACTGTCGTTTCTAAAACCAACACGTAATTATCTCGCCGGCGGGTATTTGTGGTAATTTTTGTGGGACGAAAAATCTGGGGCTGGGAGAAGCAAACACCAACAGGTATAACCGATATTTACATGGGCAGGTGATATCAATTAACTTTTTTTGAAGAATTTTTTCACACACCAATGTCGTAAGAATATTTACGCTCTTTATGCTTGGCTAAAGTAAACACTGCATAAAATTAATTTTCAGTGCAGCTTCATGCAAAGCGCCAAGTACATTAATAATTCCAATCATCTCTCCATATTTTGACAATGATTTTATTAATTTTGAGGAACAGTTCTCTGTGTTATCTCCGACTGCATCATATCATTCCATTCACGGACAATTCAATCGATGATTCTGAGTTGATTTGATCGATGGCGATGGAAAAAATTCGAGCACCACCTGACGATGGCAGGTCTTCTGTTCCCTGAATACAAAATAAAAAAATATTTTCATTGACCGTAACGGCAGGTGATCCGAATGGTCCAGAGTCTTGATAAGTACCCGATAGGGAGGATCCAAGAACAAATAATAACGTGCCCTGTGTCGAATCCCCAGCGGGCAATCTGTCAAAAAGATGATTGTAGCTTGAACCATTTTCAAAAGCCCCAATCTGCTCCCATTTTGACGGGAGGGATATCGAGAGGTATCCTATGGCAATTTTGAAAATGCTTGTCCCATCATCGACAGTCCTGGGCTATGATGATTACAGGGCGCGTAAAATCCCCACGTATTACGGTGTTGGTTTTCGAGCCTTTTGTGTTGAAAAAGACACGTGTAATCATCCCCCCAGGTCCCCCTTCTTCCATCAGGATACCTGTGCATGTTTAGTCTGGCTGCGAGAGTCTCCTGCTCATCTCCTCGAATGAGCTTCTCTTTTTTCGGTGGCCCCAGGGCTGATGTCCAGACCCCACTGTTCTATAGCTAACGATTTTTTTCTTACCACCTCTTCTTCATATTTTGCATTGGAATCCCGAGTGTCGGACGGACGGTGTTGGGTGGTCAGCTGGTTTACGATATCTTTTGTAAAATTTTCTATGCAAATCCTTCAGTTGTTATTGTATTTCCCTTGTTTCTGGAGAACCTTGAATTTTTATTGGAATATCCACGACCACGTTCTGTGCAATGGATTCGTGATAGCTTCTGGTCCAATATTGAATGTAACCAGTCCTGTCAATCGAGTTTCCAATTTATCACGTAAAATGATAGAAAATCGTTTTTCCTCCAATTGAAGGTGCTGTGAATTGGATTGAATGGATGATTGAATTTGTCAATATTTCCGCGGAATAAAAATTTTCAATATGAAGATTAAAATTCAATTTTCTTCTGTGAAATTATTTTCGATATTCTTTATCGGTAGAATCAATCACGATTTCTATACCGCTGACTGCATGAAGAGGAATTAAATTTTTTTTCCCCCATCCATTCGTACAAGGATGAAAAACATTTGTCAAACGTTTTTACCTGAGGAAATCAGTCACTAGTTACTTACTCATGATTTATCTGCCACCTGATGAAACTTGTGGCGGCACGTGAATATGACAAAAGCCACAACCCACCTCGTTTGCTCGGGCATTGCCGGCAATGTTTTTTATAATCGAGAGTATGTTTTTGAAAGATGTGTTCTGTTTTTGTTGACCAACTCCAAGCACCTCATTTTGCCGACAGCAGCTAGCAAAATGCATTGGGTGATTTCGGCAGCGACTCCTAATTCAACTCGTCTCGCTAATTCATTTTCGCCTGAAGATGACAAATAAACGCCTCCCCTCATTTCGTTGATGTCCATTCAAGTCGGCAAAGTAAAACAAAACATTGAATTCACATTGCCCAGGGGAAATTAATTATTCACTCAGATTCAGCCGCTATTACGGGCCACAATAACTTGAAGAGGGCGTTACCGCAGTATTGATCCTCATTAGTTTCACACACTTCTGGTACACGAAGAATACGAAGAATTCGAAGAATTCGTTTCTTCCGTCTGGATCTGATTGAAGAAGATGAGTGATCTTCATCGGAATGGATTTTTGATGGTTGAGACCTTCGAACCAAAAATGAATGAATGAATTTCGATTGATCGTCAAAACGGCCTGATCCATTTCTCTCTCAACCATTTATTTTCTATTTTTACATGGTTCTCTAATGAGATGCGATTCGTTGGAGCATAAAAGATGCCGGTTGGCATATAACACCCATAGGCCGAGTACTTTCTCACGATCGCACCGCAGACGAGCTGTTGCTTAAGACGCCTTCCAGCAAAACTAGACAGCCCGTAGAATCACGACCTGCCCATTGGCCCCCACCATTTCACTTTATCATTTTTGTTTCCATTCATTGTTTACTGAGGAGAAAAAATGGGTATCATTTCCGAGAAAACCGCAGGCGTGATTCAAACGGCTACACGTGGCATTTCAGTAACCGTTTGCTGATGTCTCGTGTCCGCATTGATTCCTAAACAATAATCAATGGATAAAAACGCGTCGAAAAGATTTCTGTACAATGAAATGAGATGTGTATCTCGATATTATTTGGCACGTGCAAAATTCCGAATCCCATCGCTCATTCTCACACCCAATCTCCCTCGGGTATGGGAATTTGTTTGAGATACGAGACTTAACAATTTTCGTTAACCACAACGTGCAAGTGTGTGGTTTCAGCGATTCAGAGATTTCAGGTGGTGGTTTTGAGCCGCGAAAGCGAGATGCATCTTTAGGGAGTACAAGCCCCTAGGCTGATGTACCTAACCTGAATACTTCTGGAAATTATTCAGTTCACTGATGCCAAGGATTTTCGTGAAGAAAAATTGCCACAAGTTCTCACAATGGTTCAGCTTTCAGTCTTGTCAATGCCCTGGAATAAAAGTTTATGCCTTCAGACGTAATTTCTTGACTCATGTACCAGCTAATTCCACCTCATTGGCAACATCATCCAAACTTGCACTCAAACCAGTCTCAACCCCAGCCTAAAGTTTATTTATTTAGCCGCCAACTGGAAGAGGTACTTCCGGCCAAAGCGTAAACACTGAACTAGCCTCAAAATGATGGGCAAAAATATTTTCACTGTCCCTCATCCCCTGAAAGACGATGTAGATGGGCTTCTGTTCTGTAAACCAACACCGAAATTATCACGGCTACCTCCGTCATCCGAGCCAAAAAGAAATCAAATAAGAGATCTCCAAAGGTGCAGAAAAAAGGCTTTTGAGTTATAATTTAAAAGATTTTCGAGTCGTTCTCATGAATTCTGTTAGAGTGTGTTTGTGCACATGAATTGTGTGGTATCAAGGTGCCGACAAGGCACTGATGGATGTTTCATAATTGTAGGCCTTGGGCAAACACAAACGTGGTTGAAATTTCTTTGGGCTTGAGGTGTATGAGATATGCATGAATACATCTACCCCCCCCCCCCCCCCAACAAGGCATAAATCCATCCTCTTCAATATTGGCCCGGTGAACCATTGCTTTGGAGATTAAATAAGAACGCGTCATAGACACTGGAAGACCATTTAAAAAGGGTAAATTTTTTTCTTCCAATTATCCTCAGCCATTCCTGACTCGAAAGAAACAACCAGACGATGCGTGATAAATCTTCCACTTGGTTGGAGGAAATAAAAAACTTGGAGAGCCTTCTAGCTGACCAAAATATGCACGACGAGATGGATGGGTGGAGTAGCAAGGGCGGTGCCGACCGACTTTCGTCTCAGAGTTTGTTTCTCAGCCAGTATGTGCTTTCAATATGTGAGTTTTTTTTTTATCCCTCTGTTTTCTCAAACCAGCTTCTCTCCGTTTCGTTAATTTTTTCACCAGTGATTGAACGATTAGAAGGGGGCGGCCCACTCGTCAGTCACTTCGACATATGCAGATGTCTTTTTTTGTCCTCCCGATGAGACTGGAAAAATAAGAGGCTTCAGATGAATGCATCACATATGAGCGGTCCAATCGATTTGTCTGCAATCCATGTGGGTGTAGGAGAAATTTTTGATTTCAAACAATACTTGCTCCATTTCGCTACGATGCTTCTTGCAATAGTCGAAAAACAAATCTTCAACTATCGGAAAGTTTTTCAATTACATCTTGAGAAGTAGTGGAGCACAATGGAGTTGCCAGTCGGGCTTCCAGACCGAAAATTTTCAGGCTCTTCGATAAAATGATTTTCATAACTTTTCCAGCTGTTGTTTTCAACAGAAAGAAAATCGAGTGGAAAAAAAGTCGGTGGGGTTGCGTGCTGTGGCTGTGGAAAGGGGTTTTTCATTTTTCACAGAACATGTGCCACCTGTATTTACACACGAGTTATTTCAAGGTCCAGGGAAAATCCACCGGGCCGCATCCAAGCTGTCCATCCTAGCAAAACATCACGGTAGGAGTAATAACTCTTTCCGGCTGACTTCAACTAATTTCATTCTTGTACGTACAAATGAAAGGGTTCACCGCTTTTTGTGGGTGTAACCGTGCAGACGGTTACTATTTACATCCGCCAAATATTTATTATTCCAGAGCTCCTTATGAGGCATTTGAACCCCGAAAGGATACGGAGTGCACACAAGTGCATCAGGATTACGTCGTATACCTCTGGGGAAGTGCTTCTAGTAATCCTCTGCCTCGGAGGAAATCCCCAGAGTGTTGTTTGCACGAGAGGCTATTTGACCAGCAGTCCAAGTCTATCGTCCTATTTTGCTTGATAACCACCAGTCAATATTTATTCAACTTTCGCCTTATTCTTTTCCGTTTTAAATTTATCCCATTTGTCACCGCTTCATAACATAATTCAACAAATTTAATTTCACTTTCTGGTAAATCCGTGTTAATTAATTTCTCATGGTCAAGATCTCGAGTGACTTCACGGTGTCAGGTACAGAACCTGAAATTCTTCTCTGTATTTATCAATTCAATATTTAACTTGCGCCAGATTGCACCGTAAACGTATGTCCCTTCTCCGTTAAGCCAAGTGCCTTTTCACCGTTGTTTGCCATGAACCTCCGCTCACTCACGTTGATTTAGGCTTAACGGATTTACTTCTTTTTCGTCTGTTGCTCACCGATCACGTGGACAAATACCCTGAGAACTCGCATCCCCATCACCACCCAGTCACTTAAACACACGACTCTATCGACGAGTTTTGATGGATTCTCAACTGCCCCGTTCATCCCCCTCACCAATTCACTAGTTTTTTCTACCTATCATCTACCCAATCCCCTCTAGTTGACCTGGGACCTTTCAGCTCTTGTAACATGAATCGAAGTGTAAAGATTCATCCGGTTTTTTAAATGATGGGGGGATGAATGTGTGTACACAGTAGGGGCATTTAGGGCTGTCTTCAACTGACCATTACACCTGAATGACTAGAACCTGAATGATGAAAAGGACAGCCACCAGCCCTTGATCTGCCCGACCCACTTCCGGCCCTGACCTTCAAAGAAGAAAAAAAAAACGGTGTCTCTTTCCCGTAAAGTACAACGGACACTGTAATGACGAATGTTTCTTTCATCCCGCTGGAAGAGATAAGTACAAAGGTTTGGGGGGAAGGATGTTATGTAAATTGAGGATTGTGAGGGAAAACCGTTTCACCTTTGATTTTTCGCCTGCAGGGAATCATGTGCTTGAGACAATTTTATGAGAGGGTGCACTCGATTCCGCTGTTTTCCTCGAGTAACACTTGACGAATCAGACCCCACAGGTGAAGAAGATGGTGGAATGTCCAGGTAAGTCAACCGTTCACCTCGAAATGCCTCGGTAAGAGTTGGAAGAGCAATCTTCAACCACTTGGCTTCAAGTTTTTCCAATTGAGTGTCGACCTTTTACCATTCGGGGGATTGATGAGTGTCAAAGCACCAGCGATAATTGGCCTCCAGTATTCCGATAACCGGACTGTTGTTGTTGATTTTTTTTTATAATAAAAAAAGGAAACTTTCACTCTGGCCTTTGTGGATGGGCTATCAGCCAGGTGGGAACTCGACTTCTCTGGGCTTCACTGCCTCGCGTTGTTACTTCATGATCACAAATTGGTTTGCACGACAAAAAGCGCCAGGCCAGTTAGTGAGAACGTGTGTCAAGGCACGAGAGTTTCTTTATCCTATCACGATCAATCATCTGACCGGTATTTCTTTTGCTCAGGGGGTTTGCACTCGTTTCGAGCGTTTTATTCTTCACTCTGTGGAGGTCCCAGTGTCACTCGTGTCCCATTCAATTCAATCCCTTTATCGAGAATATTTCGTGGACAATTTTCAATGTTCTTTTTTCATTGTTGAAATTTTGAGTGACGGCGGGAGGAATATTTGAAAATTGCTCCGGACTTTAGGAGTGGATTTTACCTTGTGACGTATGTAAAAGTGACATAACAGTGTATAAAAGAAGCATCAGAGTCTATTGATGTGTTTGGTGGGGCGGTCAGGAAACCTGCACCTTTTTCCGCCCCTCTTTTTTATACACATGAATTCATCCTTTTTCCGACACCCGTGCAGACTCTCATAGGATTTTCGAGAAACGCTCGCTTTGGTATCCACCTACTACTAAACGAGTGAATGGGGGGTATTGTAAACTCTTGTTTGTTCAAGGGCTGGTACACAGGGTGAATTGAATGTGTGGAGTTTCCGATGTGTCCAGGGGAATTGAAATGGTGGGGATTCTAGTCGTGTGTCTGTTTGGAGGGATGTTTATTTAGGATACCCACCAGCAGACGAGGAACAGTAATTCTGAGATCCTTTAGTGGAGTGAATCTGTAGTGGATTAGGATGCTTCAGGGTGAGGATTTCAGACTGTCGACGATATTCGGATATGGGATCAAACGTTATTACTTCGTTCATGATTTCTATTTCTATTTAGAATTTTCCTGGCTCCACACTAGAAACTAATGAATTCTTTTGAATCGTCGGAGTTTGGGCATGTGAGGGACCTGCATACCATGAATTAACAGCATTTTACGCTGTCCAACCTCCCATTCATAAATCATCCGTTTAAACCTCAATTTTCTTCTGTAATTCGATGACGGAAGTCCCTCCCCTGTTTGTTGTCCAGCAGTCGAGCATCTTATTACGTAATAAGCCAAGTTCCGAGATAATTCTTCGGACCCTCGGTGGAGATTCATCGAGTGTGACAATCTCCAGATATCTCAGCTAGCCCACAGAACTGCCGCATCAAATAAATGTTCAGGTCGTACTTGCGGCTTTTCACTCGGTGCGGTTTTCCGGTTTTCGTTCATTTCATGGAACTATAAATATGGCAACACCAGATGGAAAATAGGATTTCTGCAGCCGCAGTTGGCACTTCCTCGTCGACCAGAATGAATTTGAGTTCGAATCTCTTCGGCTTTGTTGTCTTTTTTTTTATTATTATTATTTTTCCACTGAGGTGTATTGTACCGTGTCGAACAATAACGGATAACTTTCATGTTATTTCTTATCGGGGCTTCAGGTTTTTATCGGAATCGTTGCGATATGTACACGAGCGATGCGTTTTGTATAACTCCCACGTAACTGCCTCGGGTGAAGCTGTAAAATTCTACCCCCGCTGGTCTATCTCTCCTGAATAAAATCAGTCCTCGCGCCAACTTTTTACGTTTGACATCCATATTTTATGTCATTCTCACTTTTTTTTATTTTTGCCGCGAGTCACTGAGAAGTTTTACCGATTCCAGAATTTCCACGATTTTCTGAATTTTCATATTCCACAAGTTTCTTCTTTTCAAAATGAGTTTTTATGGAATAACAAATAATTCACAATTGAGCTCATACTATTTCATGTAAATCACCCATAATTTGTTGGGAAATTGTGAGGTCGGAGTACGCAATTATTCACAAACTACTTTGACATGGAAGAATATTATAGTTCATGCAGAATGTATCACAAGACTTCCTCACCAACTCAATGGTCTCTCATGGTTTCAAAAATTCAGTCACGCTGACGGCTTTTGAAACATGAATTTGAGACGAAATTTCACGGTGATGAGAAAAGCAATTTCCAGAATGAGTAAATGTTGGCCACGTGCCAGCTAACTGGCAGAAGTTTCACACGTGTTAGTCCCCTCTCGCAACATCATGAAAGTTTCCAGTGACTTTTCTTGAAAAATAATAGAGTAGTTTTTGTGGGATTTTCCCGAGGGAAGTGATGCTGTCCTGAATCCTTAGAAGTGGGTGAACCTCTGAGCTTATTGGTCAAACATTTTCTCTCCTTTTTTACAGATATTGACAAATAGAAAATTTAATAAATAAAAGCCTGAAAGTACAGAAGTTGGAGAGAGTAAATTGGATTCGCCGAGTGTATCCCTAAAAAATCTTCGAATGAATATTTTATTCCGCTCGAAGAATTTCGTCCATCGGGTAAACATTTCTATTTCGCCCTCGGAGACTCAAGTGGCGTAAGCAATTTTGGAAAATTGCAGACTCTCGATTTCCTGCTTACCTAGAGCCTTGCATCACACGATTCAACAGCACCCGCACTGAATGCCCGAGTGATTTTTTCTCCTAGTATTTATTCTGAAAAAAAAAACCATGAATGAACCATCTAGGATTTTCTCAAGCGAGAGGAACTGCATTGCAACTTGGCTCGTTATTACGGAATTACGGATATCGAATGTCCTTTTTCGGCGGTGAGATCCACGCACTGGCCCTCGGTAAAATGCAATGGAGGGAATTCTCGGAGGGAGAGAAATTTGTGAGCTTTCAAGGGTACAATACAGAAATGCTGTCTGGCTGTTCCGCCCACTTCCGGGGATCTTCAATGCATCCTCGAGTCGTCCAACTACTCTGCACCAGCTAAACCTTGTAAAATGTAGGCATTCATTTTTTACCTCATATTCTCCCCGTATTTCAATTTTTTTGCGAGACAAAATTATGGGAATCCCGTTATTTGACGACAAAAAAATGTCCTTTCAATCAATTTCCGCTGGAAATTTTGGGATTGATCAACTATTCAGGTTTATTCTATAGAAATACCGTATGGTTTATTGCGTCCGCTAAAAATTTACGTCATCTCAGAGAAAATACGGTTGATGCACCGGTACTGGATTGCATAATGTTCATGACAAAGGGAGAAATGACATACCATTTGAGAGATAAAGAAATGTAGAGAAACTTCAAAATCATTTTTGTAGTTTCACTTTCATTTCTCCGGGGATTTGTCACAGTATTCTGGCAATTCTGCGGTATTTTCACTTTTTATTCACTCAATTACTTGGTTTTCGGGTTGGAATCCATTTTTTGAAAGTACAACGCAAAGTGGATGGCAAAAATCACTCATAAAATCCAGTAAATATTATGACACTTCCATTACCCACTGACAAAACCTCAATCCTCCTTCGGTCCATTCTAATATACCCTCCTAAAACCGCTGTACGATATAATCTCAAAAACTCATTTCGAACCCGTTTCTTTACACACCAATTTGCTGAATGGCGTCCCGCTGCGGATCTCCTGAGCATCAGAGCAGAATCCCTTTTAAAAAAATAGCGCATTGGTAGACGGATCTGTAGAAAAGAATTCTACAACTGGGAGTTCGCATTAGAATCTGTCGAAACAATTTTTTCTATTGTCCGAGTACAATAATAGAAAACCAAACAAAGCGAAATTGTGCGAGGAGAGGCTCAACTCAAAACAGATGCGTCAATATCGTTTTAATCCATTGCTCATTGCCCTCGTCATACACAACAATTTCAATTTCCATCCAGCGCCCGGTTTTTGCTATTAACGAGAGTTTATGGATCATGGCATTAAGCAGAGGTTTGAAGTTTGAAAATTATTCATCCCAATGACTATTTATTCAGGAAATAAATCCTCCGTTAAAGTCTATTTGAAAAAATGAATAATTCATATCAATCATTAACAGAACCAGCCGAAAACTGATATAAACTGATATAAACTGTTATAAAAAAACTGAAACTGAATAAAAAAAAGAAAGTGATGTAAAAAAACTCAATATAAATTCAGTAGAATTTTATGAGAGTTTTCGTAATTTTTTTCGCAAAGCTTTTCTGTGGCATTATTTCTTCAAATGATAAAAATCATGAAAATATGAGGGGGAATTACAAATAATTGTGTAATTATGAATAATTACACGTCCGTGTGACTCTCGTGTGCTCCCGACGAATGGAATGATTTTGCATCATCGGCGCACGCCACATTTCCACCTCCATCTCTAACACCGCGAGCTCAACAATTAGAAGTCATCTTTTACCAATTAGCCCTTTCTGGTTTAACCCCACCCTAAGCCCTTTCATTATATCACCGACAAAAAACTCACCGGTCATTCTGAAAAAAAAAAAAAAACTGCCAAGGCTAAAAATGAATTAACGCCTGTTTCTAGAGATCCTCTCTCTTAACGAAAAATGTTTTAGGTGTTTACGTCTCCACCCCTTGGACTTTCTGGAAGCAGCAAAATGTCTCGGGTAATTGCCGAGGTATTTTTCAACGCGTGACGAATTACAGATGGTGAATTTCACGCGGTGGAATTTTGTCCACTGGGTGGAGCACAAGTGGATCCCAATGGGCCCATGGGAAAAATTTAACCAACATCGTCACCTTCGGACAATTAAGGAAGAATATCGGTGTTAAGTATCGAAGGTGTGGCTCCAATTTGCAACGAAAAAGTTCTTTTTACTTTGAAGATTCGAGTGCCGAGACGTTCGCCATATGGCGCTGTAATTATCAATTTTTATTTCATTTCGGTCTCGGGATTTCGCGAGAATTAACCACTCGATACCTTTAATTAA